TTGATTTATTGTAGAGATGAGGTCTCACCAAGTTGCCCAGGTGGGTCTTGAACCCATGGGCTCAGGCAATCCACTCATCTCAGGCTCCCAAAGTGCTGGGATTACAGGCTGAGCCACCAAGCACGGTTTTTTTTTTGTTTTCTAAGAGAAAGGATGGAGGTTTTCTTTCTGCCATGATTCTTAGGTCAAATCCCTGTGAGTGGGTGGGGCAACCGCCACTGGGAAGTTGCAACCTCTTGCCTCCAGAGACCTGTGGCCAGAATGAAGACCATGCAGTTGCCTGAAGGGAAGCTAACAGTCTAAGAGGCCCTGGTGATGAAACCTGCCAAGTGCAGGTCACTCCTACACCACTGCTGATGTTGGGTTCAGTTTTTGGTAAAAATCACCAGTCTTCAAAAGTACATGCGCTGCTGTTCTCCAATTAATTTTGTAGCCAGTACACAATCTGTTTTGTGGTTTTGTTTTTTGTTTTTTTTTTCGGTTGGAGTGTCACTCTGTCACCCAGACTGGAGTGCAGTGACATGATCAAGCTTCACTGTAGCCTCAACCTCCTGGGCTCAGGCAATCCTCCCGCCTCAGTTTCCTGAACAGCTGGTACTACAGGTGCATGCCACCATGTCTGGCTAACTTTTTTTTTTGGTAGAGATGAGGTCTTGCTCTTTTCTAGGATAGTCTCAAACTCTTGGGCTCAAGCAATCCTCTCCCCTTGGCCTTCCAAAGTGCTAGGATCACAGGTATGAGTCACTGCGCCCAGTCATCTTTTAAACTGATACATAATAAACATATTTTGGAGGTACATGTGATAGGTTGATGCATTTATACGATGTATAATAATAAAATTAGTGTAAGTGGGATATCTGACACCTAAACATTTATCTTTTCCTTATGCTGGGAACATTCAAAATCATTCTCTACTAGCTCTTTTGAAATATACAAGAGAGGCTAGGCACGGTGGCTCAGCCTGTAATCCCAGCACTTTGGAGACCGAGGCAAGAGGATTGCCTGAGCCTGGGGATTCGAGACCAGCCTGGGTAACTTAGCGAGACCTCTTCTCTACAATAAATCAAAAAATAAGCCAGGCGTGGTAACGTGTGCCTGAGCTTCCAGCTACTCGGAAGGCTAAGATGGAGATATCGCCTAAGCCCAGCAGGTTGAGGCTGTGGTGGCCATGAGCAGGCCACTGCACTACAGCCTGGACAACAGGGTGAGATTCCAACTCGAAAATAAAAGAAAAAAAAAAAGAAAAGAAATATACAAGAGACTACTGTTTGCTACAGCCACTCTACTGATTTTTTTTTTTTAGTCGGAGTCTCACTCTGTCGCCCAGGCTAGAGTACAGTGGCACACTCAGGGCCACTGCAACCTCAACCTGCTTGCCTCTGGTGATCCTTCCACCTCAGAGGTCCAAGTAGCTAGAACTACAGGCACGTGCCACCATGCCTGGCTAATTTTTTGATTTACTGTAGAGACAAGGTTTCACCAAGTTGCTCAGGCTAGTCTTGAACCTGTGGGCTCAGGCAATCCTCTTGCTTCGGCCTTCCAAAGTTCTACTGATTTATCGAACACTAGGTCTTATTTCTTCGATCTAACTATATTTCCGTACTCATGAATCCAATGTATCTTCATCTCTCCTTTCCCCTGACCTTCTAGGCCTCTGGTAACCACCAATCTACTCTCTATTTTCATGGGATCCACTCTTTAAGTTCCCATATAGGGGCCAGGTATGGTGGCTCATGCCTGTAACCCCAGCACTTTGGGAGGCCAAGGCGAGAGGATTACGTGAGCCCAAGAATTCCAGACCAGCCTAGGCAACATAGTGAGACCTCGCCTCTACCAAAAAAAAAATATAAAAAATTAGCCAAGCATGTCAATGCATGCCTGTAGTTCCAGCTACTCAGGAGGCTGAGGTGGAAGGATCATCTAAGCCCATTCAGTTGAGGCTATGGTGAGCTGTGACTGTGCCATTGCATTCCAGTCTGGGTGACAGAGTGAGATCCCGACAAAAAAAAAAAGTTCCCTCCTGGTGCGGTAGCTTATGCCTGTAATCCCAGCACTTTGGGAGGCTGAGGTGAGAAGACTGTCTGAGCCCAGGGGTTCGAGACCAGCATGGGCAACATGGCGAGACCTTGTCTCTACAATAAATCAAAAAATTAGCCGGGCATGGTGGCACACACCTATAGTTCCTAGTTGGAAGGTGGAGGTAGAAGGATCGCCTGAGCCCAGCATGTTGGGGTTGAGGCTGCAGTGGCTGTGAGTGTGGCACTGCACTCCAGCCTGGGTGACAGAGTGAGGCTCCAACTCAAAAAAAAAAAGTTCCCATATATGAGTAAGAACGTGCAACATTTGCAAGGTGTAGTGACTCACGCCTGTAATCCCAGAACTTTGAGAGGCCGAGGTGAGAGGACTGCCTGAGTCCAGGGGTTCAAGACCAGTCTGGGCAACTTGGCAAGACCTCATCTCTACAATAAATCAAAAAAATTAGCCGGGTGTGGTGGCGTGCACCTGTGGTTCCAGTCACTTGGAAGGCTGAGGCAGAAGGATCACCTGAACCCAGCATGTCGAGGCTGCAGTGGCCATGAGTGTGGCACTGCACTCCAGCATGGGAGACAGAGCAAGGCTCTGACTCCAAAATAAAAAAGAACATGCAACATTTATCTTTCTGTGCCTGCTTATTTCACCTAACATAATGACCCAGTTCCATCCATGTTGCTGCAGATGATAGGACTTCCTCCTTTTTTACGGCTAGATAATACTCCTTTGTCTATATGTACCACATTTTCTTTTATTCTTTTTTTTTTTTGAGTTGGAGTCTCACTCTGTCGCCCAGACTGGAGTGCAGTGGCCGCTCCCGGCCACCGCAGCCTTGCCCTGCTGGGCTCCGGTGATCCTGCCGCCTCAGCCTTCCAAGTAGCTAGAACTACAGGCGTGTGCCATCACGCCCGGGTAATATTTGATTTATTGTAGAGATGAGGTCTCACCAAGTTGCCTAGGCAGGTCTCAAACCCGTGGGCTCAGGCAATCCAGTTATCTCAGCCTCCCAAGGTGTGGGATTACAGGCTGAGCCACCACGCCCAGCTAATTTTTTATTTTATTGTAGAGATGAGGTCTCGCCAAGTTGCCCAGGCAGGTCTCAAACCCGTGCGCTCAGGCAATCCACTCACCTCAGCCTCCCAAAGTGCTGGGATTACAGGCTCAGCCACCAAGCCCGGCTGTACCACATTTTCTTTATCCATTCATCCATCGATGGGCACTTGGGTTGACTCCAAACCTGGGCTACTGTGAATATTACTGCAGTAAGCATAAAGTGTCGGTATCTCTTCGACATGCTGGTGTCCTTTTCTTTGGACATATACCCAGCAGTGGGATTGTTGGATCATACAGTGGGTCTAGCTTTAGTTGTTTCTGGAAACTCCATACTGTTTTCCATAGTGTCTGTACCAATTACACTTCCTGCAACGTGCTTTGATTACAAAATATGGAAATAAGCCCCAAGGCTTGAAGGCCGCTAGCCCAGTCGTCACTGTGGGTTTGGAAGGAGTTGACTCAACGGCATGGTTCCCAGTGTTTGGCCAGACCGATGCCTGGAAAGACCCAGGGTGGAGGGTTAAGGTTGGAAAATCCCTCCTTTGCTGTTTCAAATCTGGTACAGTTTAGTTTAATAACAGGAAACTTCATGAAATGAAAGATTTAAAAAAGAAGAAGTCAGGCACTGACCTGTACCATCCATGACTTGAAGTGAAACTTCTCTGTGGAAAGAAAACACAAATTAGATTTGGGTGCATCACAGTCATGTTGAGTCTACGGCAACTAGGGCACTTTAGAACTGATTTGCATTTCAGAAAATGGCTACATTTAAAACACCAAAAGTGCTGCTATGCAATTCGGTATGCGAAAAGGAGCTCAAACCCTTTGTGCCTTTGTACCCCAAGTAGTTAGTGTTTAGATTGTGACAATTCATTAAAATGCACACATAATGATTTGGGCACTTTTCTGTGTGGTGTTATATTTCAGGAAGAAGTTAATTTAAAAACCTATAGGTGGCTAGGCACAGTGGTTCATGACTGTAGTCCCCCCATTTTGGGAGGCCAAGGTGGGAAACCCGCTAGAGACCAGGAGTTAGAGACCAGCCTGGGCAACATAGCAAGACCTCTACAAAAAATAAAAAACTTAGCTGGGCATGGTGGTGTGCACCTGTACTTTCAGCTACTCAAGAGGCTGAAGTGGGAGGATTATGCCTGGGTAACAAAGTGAGATCTTATCTCAAAAATGAACAAACACCTATATGGCCCAAGGGCTTGCAATTTGTTTCTTAAAGGGGCAGATAGTATCTTGGCAATCTATAATGATATCTGCTAAAACCATGGCTCTGCCCTTATAGCTCAGAAGCAGCCACAGACAGCTTGAGCACAAAACACAATGGACAGGGCTGTGTTCCCATAAGACTTGACAAAAATAAAAAGAATATCAGGTGTGTCCACAAATATGTACAAATATTATGGAGCAGCCAGCCTCAGTGGCTCAGCCTGTAATCCTGTGCCTTTGGGAGGCTGAGGTGAATGGACTGCCTGAGCCCACGGGTTCGAGATCCGCCTGGACAACTTGGCGAGACCTCATCTCTACAATAAATAAAAAAATCAGCTGGGTGTGGTAGCGCATGCCTGTAATTCCAGCTACTTGGAAGGCCGAGGCTGAAGGATCGCTGGAGCCCAGCAGGTCGAGGCTGCGGTGGCTGGGAGCCACTGCACTCCAGTCTGGGCAACAGAGTGAGACTCCAACTCAAAAAAAAACCCCAAAAAAACAACAACAAAAAACAAATATTATGGAGCAATAAAAACAAACAAACAAACAACACTCTACAAAAACAAGCAGGCCAGTTGTTTGTGGATTCCTTCTGTATCTCCCGTGTACAATCTCACCTAAAAATCTTATTTAATCAATTTATTTATTTAAAGACAGGAACTTGCTCTGTCAACCAGGCTGGAAAATGCTGATATTTAAAAATAAGAGTATTTTTTTCTTTTAAAGCTGGCTAATGGAATCTCAATATCATGATGATTTGATACCCACCATCAATAACAAACTTTTCTATAAGAGGTAGATTGTACGCCAGGCGTGGAGGCTCAAGCCTGTAATCCCAGCACTTTGGGAGGCTGAGGCAAGAGGATTCCCTGAGCCCGTGGGTTTGAGACCAGCCCGGGCAACTTGGCGAGATCTCATCGCTACAAAAAAAAAAAAATTAGCTGGGTGTGGTAGTACACGCCTGTGGTTCTGACTGCTTTGAAGGCTGAGGCAGAAGGGTTGCCAGAGCCCAGCAGGCCGACCTGGGGTGGCCGTGAGCATGCCACTGCACTCCAGCCTGGGCGATGGAGGGAAACTCCAACTCAAAAACAAAACAAAGAAAAAGAAAATGCATCTCTTAGTGAGATCAACAGGACTGTGCTAACCCTCCCCACTATGAATTGACATATTCATGGTGACTATTACCTAGCATTTGATTGCAACAGTGTTCGGCATTAATTCTGGCTTTATGTTTGTTTGTTTGTTGTCACACAGCCTCAACCTGCTGGGTTCCAGCGATCCTTCCGCCTCAGCCTTCCAAGTAGCTGGAACTACAGGTGGAACTACAGGCGTGCTACCATGCCCGGCTAATTTTTGATTTGTTGTAGAGATGAAGTCTCACCAAGTTGCCTGTGAGGGTCTCGAACCCGCAGGCTCAGGCAATCCACTCACCTCAGCCTCCCAAAGCACTGAGATTACAGGCTGAGCTACCAAGCTTGGCCTGGTTTTATGTTTTATAGGGAAATGGGCTGGGAAATCCACTCAGATAAGCAAATGGGAATAGAAGGCAGTTTTCTAGAGCAATGCCACTCAATTCTTGGTTGTTTTTTTTTTTTGAGTTGGAGTCTCACTTTGTCGCCCAGACTGGAGTGCAGTGGCCGCTCCTGGCTACCGCAGCCTCGACCTGCTGGGCTCCGGCGATCATTCCGCCTCAGCCTTCCAAGTAGCTAGAATTACAGGTGCGTACTACCACACCCAGCTAATTTTTTGATTTATTGTAGAGATGAGGTCTCACCAAGTTGCCCAGGTGGGTCTTGAACCCGCAGGCTCAGGCAATCCACTCACCTCAGCCACCCAAGGCGCGGGATTACAGGCTGAGCCACCAAGCCCCACCGCCACTCAATTCTTTGCCCTCCTTCCTGGCCTCAGGTCATGCAGTGCTCTACCTTGCACCATTATTTCTAAAATATCAACAGCCAGCACAGTGGTAAAGTCCTCTCTCCTCTCCTTCAGTTTCAGCTTCCTTGAGGAACTGAGACAGCCGAGGAAAATGCATTTCAATCCTGGTTAAGGGCCCTGCTCAGGATCCAGGTTTGAATTTAGGACAACTGACTAGCAGTTTGCCTCTGGGGAGTTTCAAAAGCAATAGGTAGGTGTGAAAAACCCCAAAGAACTTCTCAGTCTTAGGACCCCAGAGTGGAAGAAAAAGCAGAGATGGGCTGGGAACGGTGGATGGCCCATGCCTGTAATCCCAGCACTTTGAGAGCCTAAGGCGAGAGAATTGCCTGAGTCCAGGAGTTCAAGACCAGTGCAACACAGTGAGACCTCATCTCTACGAAAAAATAAAAAATAAAAATAAATTATCCAGGAGTGGTGGCATGCACCCGTAGTCCCAGTCACTCAGGAAACTGAAGCGGAAGAATCGCCTGAGCCCAGGAGGTCAAGGCTGCAGTAAGTAGTGATCAGGTCACTGTACTCCCATCTGGGCAACAAAGTAAAATGCACCCTCCCCACACACACAAAAAAAGAGCAGAGATGACCTCTGGTGCCCTAAGAATGAGAAGTAGTTTAGGGTTTCTCACACCTACCTATTGCTTCTAAAGGCCCTTGGTCCATTCCAATCTAGTTATGACTTTTTAAAGTACCATGATGTGCGCCCTGCCTGGAGGCCATATATGAGAAGCATCTAGAATCAGGGTCAGGAAACTATAGCCTGCCGCCCACAAGCTACAAACGACTTTTTACACTTTTAAATGGTTGAGAAAAAAATATTTCCTACCACCTGCAAATCATTTGAAAATTAAATGTCAGTATCTACTTTTTAAAAAGCATGTATTAGAAAGTGCACTCACATACGACCTACAGCTGCCTTCACGCTCCAATGGCCTAAACCTTGCTATCTGGTCTTTTACAAAGCCTGCTGAACCCTGCTTGGTAGCTATGAAGGCTCCTCTGTGCCAGCCCTCTCCCAGCAGCCCCCACCTGGGGGCAGCCGGGTTTCCCGTAGGTTGGGCTGACCTGGAACTGGGCACCCTCTGAGATTTGCAAGGCTGGAGGGCTTTCTTTCATAAACTGGTGGGAAAGAAGAAGGCAAGATGCTGCCTCTGTGATCTGTCTCTTCCCAAGGCTGTTTCTTGGCTACTCTGTGAAGGGGACAGGTGGTATTGTAAGCTCAGGGTATGTGGGCTGAGGCTGAGGCTGCAGGGAAGGAGGGAGGAGGGAGGCTGCAAGGAAGAGCAGGCTCTTTGCCTTCAGCCAGGGGAGGGCCCGTCCAAACCGCTCTAAGGGTGGATTCTCAAGACACCTATGGGGAGCCCCTATGTGCCACGTACCCGGGAAGTTGCTTTAAAAAGGCTGGAAAGTCCCTGCTCGCAGGGGCAGATCAGAGTCCTCTGTCCCAGTTGGGAAGGCCAGCAGGGGCCGCGAGCTTCTTTGGTATAATATTTAGAGCCGCCTGGTCAAGTGGGACCCTGGACACCCAGCCCACTGGCTCCTCTGGTCAAGCAAGATGTCCACTCCGGAGCCACCTCCCACCCCGGCATGCAGCTCACCCCTCCCCATGCCAACACGCAGCGCCCCCAGCCTCAGCCCGGGCCTGCCCTGCCCTCGATCCGCCCGAGCCCAGCGCCCCACCTTCCCAAGTTCTCCCCAAGTCCCGTTTCGGACGTGCGAGTTCCCTTTGGGGCGCCCCG